CTGCCTGGTGATCATTGTCTTCCCCTCCACACACACTGTGCCTGGATTCCTTGAGGCCGAGGACCCTGTCTTATTCATCTTTAAATTGTTAGCCTAGTACACAGTAGGTAATCAAAAAGAAAAAATAATAATGGAATGCATGAGCATACCAAGAATCCTGGAGTCCTGCCTGAGGGAGTGGCAGAGGCTGCCTGGAAGTTTGGGGGAAGTCACTAACAGGTGCACTCAAGCTGAGCTGAAAGAAGGGATCCCTCACCTGTAGGACAGGGCAGGAACAAAGCAGACATTCAAGGGGAGAGAACACCTTACCTCTGGGCAGGAGAATGGAGGGAAAGGATCCTAGGAAGGCCCAGGATACTGAGTTCTTCAGAAGTTAGGAGACCAGGGATTGGTGTTGTGGTGTAGTGGGCTAAGTTACCACCTGTGATGCCCGCATCCCATATGGCATTGGTTCGTGTCTTGGCAGCTCTTGCTAGTGTACCTGGGAAAGCAGCAGAGGATGGCCCAAATGCTTGGGCCCCTGCATCCCACATGGGAGACCTGCAAGAAGCTCCTGGCTCCTAATTTCAGTCTGGCTCAGCTCCGGCTGTTGCAGCCATTTGAAGAGTGAAGCAGCAGATGGAAGATCTCTCTGTCTGCCTCTCCCTCTCTTTTTCTCTGTAACTCTGACTTTCAAATTTTAAAAAGTATGTAAAAAAAAGAACTTAGCAGACCCATTTTATTTTACATATATACTTTTTTAAAAAACAAATTTATTTTATTTGAATGGCAGAGAGAGCGAGGGAGGGGGGGAGATGCATCCTTTGTCTGCTGGTCAGTCCCCAAATGCCTGCAACAGCCTGGACTGAGGAGCCTGAAACTGAGTCTCTCAGGTGGGTTGCAGGGACTCCAGTCCCTGAGCCATCATCTTCTGCCTCCCGGGGTGCACATTAGCAGGAAGCTGGGTCAGGGGGGGAGGAGCTGGGACTGGAACCTGGGCACTACAGCATGGGACGTGGGCACCCCTCGTGAGGACTCAAGCCCTGCGCTGCTCCCTCCCAGATGCTCATTTAATGGGACGTTTGAAAGGGGTTCAGGATGCAGGACAACTCTGTCGTGGGCGACTGCTTCACATGTCACAGGTCGCCTTGAGTCTCTGGCCTCACGCATTCAATGCCAGTAGAGCACCCCAACCATGATGACAACTCATGCACATGGCACCCCTTGGGGAGAGACCCCCCTAGGCATGTGTTAGCCTTGCTCCCATTCCTGCAGGGGCTGACAGGCAATGCTGGGCGGCCTGGGGCAGGCTGCAGACCACGTGTGGACATGGGCAGGACAGGCCAGCTTGAGAGGTTTGAATGTGAAGGGCTTGGCTTTCTCCAGAACCCAGGGCCCAAGGAAACAGCCTGGAACCGAAGGCCTGAATTGCTGCTCTGATGAGCCAGCATGGAGCCGGGGGCCCCAAGGGGCCCAGCCTGTTTGAGGTCTGAGGCCTCGGGCAACCCCTTCCTGCCAGCGAGGTGGCGCCTGGTCAGTGGGCTGACGGGCCACGTGGAATTCTGCTGACCTGCAGAGCTAAGCATAGCAGCACCGTTACAGCAGCTAAACCGTGGAAGCAGCCCAAATGCCCCTGCATGGATGAATGCACAAACAAAATGTGGTGTCCACATACAAGGGCGTACAACAGAGCCTCAAGAAGGTGGGGGAGGGGGATGGGGTGTCAGTCACATGCCACGCAGTGGTTGGACCTTGAGGACCTCTTGCAAAGTAGAATAAAGCAGTCACAAAAGGACAAGTGGCAAACGAGCCACTTCTGTGAGAGACCTGTGGTTGTCAAAGGCATAGGAACAGGAAGCAGACTGCTGGTTGCCGGGGCCTGAGGGGCCAGGCCGGCTGCCTGGGGAGTTGGTGATCAAGGACACAGTTTCAGCTGTCAGGAGGTAGAGCGAGCCCTGTGGATGGATGGCGGTGCTGGTTGTGCCATGGTGTGAACACGCTCAATGCTGCTGAACTATGCACTTTAAAAACAGCTAAAATGATACATTTTACGTCATTAAAATTACATATATAAATTTAAAGAGAGATCAAGTACTAATGGAAGACTAGAAATCAAGGTTCAGCTCTTTTGTTGACCAGGCTTGTGGATCTTGGCCAAGTTCGCCGCTCTACTTCCCAATCTCTTCCTCTAGGAAACAGCAATCCTCGCTGGGACATTACTGGAGTCGCTGCAGATCTGAGCTGAAGTCTTGGGGCCCACGCTGCCTGACACAGTGCTGGGACTCGGGCAGCACTGTGTGATAGTGTGCACGCAGGCTGCATGCGGTCCCTGCTCAGGGACACTGTCTTCCCCTCACCCACCTCCCAGACCCATTTGGAGCACTCAGGAGCAAGGGAACAAGGTTAGGCACAGACCAGGGATGGCCGAGGGAGCTCGGACAGTGGGCGTCCCCCTGGGTCTTCCTGCCTGTGCGAGGGCCTCCACCCATCCCCACTGAGCCCCTCCCATCCATCCCCCACTGAGCCAGTTCCCCAGGGAGCTCTGTGCGCCTTCCCTTTGCTCTTCTCCTCTGACCCCCAGAGAAGGCGCTCCTTCAATGTGCAACCTCCACTAGCCCCCTTGGGCCCGGAGGGAGAGGTGATCATGGGTGTTGACAGCAACAACAGCTCATTTTCTTCTGTTTTGATTAAACAATCATATGATTGGAAAGTGCTTCCTGGTGTAGCAATTAAGGACTAGCTGGAGGAGAAGCCGAGAGCACTTAACCCAGGTAGTGATTAACAGCTGGGAGATGTTAGACCTGGAGGGGACTCGCCGCTGGTGCACACCCTGAAACTGGCAGCAAGAGAAAAAGAACAAAAGCAAGACCTACGCTGTTTCCTTTTAGGCCTGGAACGTTTAACGCTGGAGCGTGCGTTGCCATAGACACGTTGCTGGCTCCGGGCGGCTCTGGGCTGTCCACGCCTGCACCCAGCTGCCCAACGATGCCACGTGGCTTTCAGCAGAGCAGCTGCGCCTGGCCAGCGCCTATAATGGATATCTGCAGCTCCGGGCTCCCACGGAAATCCTCAAGCCCTCACTTGTCACCGTAATTTCCTTGGGAAGTGTGTCTAATTACACATTGCTTGCTGCGTGCTGCAGGCTGTCTTCTTGTATACAATCCACGAATTGCATAAAACCACGAAACTGTGAGGGCACTCTGGAGTGCTCCAAATTGCTATGTAGTTGTTTTTAACTTGGTAGTTAAGCATTAGTAGGTGTAATAGGGCATCATTTACGTGAACAAAAACAACATTAAAAGAACAGCAAGGATCTCGTTCTTTATAATTCTCTGTGGAGGGCAGAAACCATTTCAGCAAGACAGCTATAAAAATGATAGAATTTCCAGCTCTAAACCACAGACTGTTTATTTCACCCATGACAGCAGGGGATTCATAAATGATTTTGGAATGTTGCATGGGACCTGCCTTTCAGGAGACTTCTGATACTTAGTTTCTTGGAGGTGAAAATATCGTTACCTCTGGACTCTCTGACGTCAGGAAATTCTCCAGGATGTACAGCAATGCTCAGCACTCATTCCTGGAGGAGCCTCTGAAGTCAAGGGGAATCTGCGTCCGGAAGCGACTGTTGCCTCGTGACATCGTCTCTAAGCTGGCAGGACTGGATAATTCCTTAGCTCTTAAGTAAGGGGCAGCTGTCAGGCATGTGGACTAAGAGAGAGAGAGAGACAGAGAGAGACATAGAGGGCGAGAGAGCAGGGTGGGTTATTCAATGTCCCTTTAGCATTTTTACAGATAATTCAGTTATATAAGCAAGTTGTTTTGTTTGACAGGTTGCTTCAAACCATTTTCCTTTAAGAGCTTGCTTGCTCACGGGGGCGGGTTTTTGGCCTAACAGCTAAGACACTGGAGTCCCACGTGACAGCTCCTACCTAGGTTTATAGTTGACTGTTCATAACCCCAGCCTCCTGTCAGTACAGACCATGGCAGGCAGCCGTGAGGGTTCATGTAGTTGGGTCCCTTTGAGCTTCTGGCTTTAGACTTTAGCTCGGCCCAGCCCCCATGACATTTGGAGAGTGAACAGAGATCTTTCTCCCCCGAACCCCACCCCCCGCCAGCCACACACACACAAAAACTTGCCCTAGGATGAAACAATAGAAACATCTAGAAGCCTCTCCTTGGCTCCATTCTCAGCCCCAGCTATCACCTCCATAAGGGCAAAACTCTGTGTACCACTGGGACCTGGTGCTTGCAGGTGTGGCTACTGGCACCAGGACACCACCAGGCTCGAGTGTCTGTGACCTGGCCTGCTTGGAGGCTACCAGATTCCAAGCCTGAAGAAAGTTAAGGGAAAACCACATGTCATTGGCCATGGACCCTGTGGGGTGTGAAGCGGAGGGGATCACTCTCTGGAAACCTCAGAAATGAGCACACACAAATGTTCCAGAAGCATCTGTGCGGAGCCCATCAATGGCATTCAGAACTTGCTGACTCCAAATGGGACCTCACTAAAGTCAGCACATTTAAAAACATCTCCTCACTGGTTCACTCCCTACATGCCCACAGCAAGTAGGGCTAGACCAAGCTCAAACTGGGAACTAGGAATTCAGTCCAGATCTCCCACGTGGTGGTAGGGACCCAACCATTGAACCATCACCTACTGCCTCCCAGGGTGCACATTCGCAGGAAGCTGGAATCAGAAGCATAACCAGGACTCAAACCCAGGCACTCTGACAGGGTACGCGAGCAACCCAAGTGGAATTTGAACCACTAGGCCAAATGCTTGCCCTCACTATATACACTTAAAACGTATTTATAATTTGTGTATCTTAGAATCAATCATGCAAAGGTAAGTTGACAACATATCCTCTATCCATAGCTAAATACTTTTCAGAAACTGAGATAAAGTTTTAGAAAGAAGTACGTTTGCTTTAAATGAATGAAAAATCCACGTGCCTGGGGTTTGAATAAGCCTGAAATTCACAATTCATTTTTAACACTTGCCTTTGTTCTGCTTTTAGCATGATGATGATCAATCAACAGACACAAGAGTGAGTGCTTGGAGCAGTGTGAATGCTGAAGATGCCGTGCTGTTCATTGTCTCCTGACCAACCAGAACTCTACGTGAGTGGGCAGAATTCTTTCTAGTTTAGTGTCTAGAAAAAATCTTACCATCAATTCATGCTGATATTAGCAATTTAGAGTGTATTAAAATGTGGAATAGGGACAGGTGTCTGGTGCTTGGAACACTGGCATCCCATATCACAATGCCTGGGATAGAGTCCTAATTCCTAATTCTAGCTTCCTGCTAGCGCATACCCAAGGAGGCAGCAGGTGATGGCTCAAGTACTTGGGTCACTGCCAGCTATGTGGGAGACCTGGACCGAGTTCCCAGCTCCTGATTTTGAACTGGCCCAGTGCTGACTCTTGTGGGCAATTGGGGAGTGAAGCTGTGAATGGAACATCTTTCTGTCTGTCTCTGTTTCTCTCTCTATCTTTCAAATAAAATGAAAATAAATAACTTTTTTTTTTACAATGTGGAGTAGAAGAAGGTTTAAACCTCAGAATAAGGAGCTGAGAACAGTCTTTGTAAAAACTCAGTTACCAGTACACTGACATGATGTGTCAAAACTTTCTAGAAACTGTCTAGAAAAATCTGTGTTCATGGAAACTCTCCAGCATTCCCTCCTCCCAGCGTTTTTATGTGGACCAGCAGTACAGGAACACGTCAAGTGTGTTGTGTCTCCAGCTGCGTTTCCCAAGGAAAATATGCTGTTATCAAGTGTGTGCATGTTGTGAAATTTTTACAGCTTATCAGAATTTTCTCATTAAAAGAAATATGTGCCAGGAAGCAAGGCAATAACACACACACACACACACACATATCCTTCAAAAACTCAGAAAGCCTGTGTCAATATGATTTCAGATAAGCAGAAACCCAAGCATCCAATATAATGTTGGCAAAGCCAGTCAACAACAAAAAATCATAATGTTCTACTTGCCTTACCTCACCTGCATCTGTGTAACCTGTATTTTATTTTGCTTTTTAAATCGCTATTTGTTTGAGAGGCAGAGCTACAGAGAGAGACACAGATAGACAAAGAGAGTTCCTATCCACTGACTCCCCAAATGCCCACAACAGCTGGAGCTGGGCCAGGTTGGAGCTAGAAGCCAGGAACTCAATCTGGATTTCCTGCATGGGTAGCAAGGACCCAACAGTTTTAAGTCATTACCCGCTGCCTCCCAGGGTACCGGTATCTTAGCTGCTAGGCCAAATCCCCACCCATGTACACTGTATTTTAATAATTTTTAATATAGTCAACCATCATCCTAATTTGTTTCTACTTGGGAATTTTACTAGGAAATATAGTTTCTAATTTTCAGAAGAAAAAAATTCATTAAATACTAAGCTGTGAATGGCAATAATTTACTTAAGGCATAAAAATATGTAGTTTATGAAAATCACATTTAGAAGGAACATAATGATTTACTTCAGGTTGTCATGAATATTAGCCCCAACAAATTCATGAATGCCACATTTTTTTAAAAGATTTATCCACTTATTTGAAAGGTAGTGTTACAGAGGCAGAAGCAAAGGGGGAGGGGGGCGGAGAGAGAGAGAGAGAGAGAGATCGTCCATCTGCTGGTTCACTCCCCAAATGGCCATATGGCCAGAGCTGGGCTGATCAGGAGCTAGGAGCCAGGAGCTTCTTCCAGGTTTCCCACGTGGGTGCAGAGGCCCAAGCACTTGAACTATCTTCCATTGCTTTTCCAAGTGCATCAGCAGGGAGCTGGATCAGAAGTGGAGCAGCCGGGACTCGAACTGGCACCCATATGGGATTGCCAGCACTGCAGGCTGTGGCTTTACCCTCTATGCCATAGCACCAGCCCCTGCAGATTTATTTTGTTCATAGTTTGTATCAGGACTCAAATAAGTTTAAAAATTATTGGCAGAACAGATAGATCAATGCTTTTTAAAAAATTTTTTATTTGAATTGTAGAGACAGAGAGTGCTCCTATCTGCTGATTCACTCCCCAAATGTCAGGAATGGCAGAGGCTAAGTCAGGCCAAAGCTACGAACTGGGAGCCCAATCCAGGTCTCTCTAGTTGGTGGCATGGAATCAACTACTTGAACCACTGGCTGTTTCCTCCAACAGTGTTCATTAGCAGGAACCAGGACTCAAACCCAGGTACTCCTATGTAGGATGCAGGAATCCCAAGCAGTGTCTTAACCCCTATGCCAAATCCCCACCTGATAAATGCTTTTTAAATTTATTCCAGATACCAATCTGTTACTGATTCACTTGCCAACAATTTTAGTAAATATTCTAGTATATTCCAGCCTACCATTCATGGTGCATTTAAGTGAATTTCTCTATCATGTTCAGTTTTTTTTTTAAAGAATAAATAAAAGAAATTTATCAAAGCATAGGGAGAGGTAGAGAAAATGTTTGGACAAGCTGTTCCCTTGAATTTGATTATACAAAGGCACCCAAAGCCCAGGAACTTGGCCCCTCCTCCCTGTGAAGCAGGCTCACTCTCTCTCCCTCTCTTGTGCACGTCTGGGCTCGCTGCCTGGAGGTGGCCAGTGACATTTATGTGTATCAGACCAACGCACAGGTGGCACTCTGCCAATAGAGCTGGGTGGGGAACTGAGGCTGGAGTACAGAGAAACCCAAGGACCTGGGCAGCAGTGACTGAGAAGCAGGAAAACTACAGAAGGGGAGAGCCCAGGGCTGAATGAGACAAGCCAGAGTCCGAGCACTTGTCAACTAGGAGGGTTGGTTAAAATTGAAGTGCAAAGTCAGGACACAAAGGATGAGGCCTGTGCGCATTTGCTTCCCTCCCTCCCACTCCTGTACCTTCAACAAGTGCACCCTCTCTTGTGCTAGGGTTGCTCAAAACCTGCTCCTCTTGTAAGGTGAGTACTCACTCCCTCTGATTCACAAAGCACTCACTGCCCTCTCTAAGCCACAGCTCTTCTTATGGTTTTGACTTAGATTGTGCAACTCACTCGGGACTTGGTCTTCTGGTGTCTCTTGGCATCTTTGCAATTGCCATTACAGTGTGTCTTGCTTCCCCCAACCTGATCAATAGTAAGAGAGGCCCGAGGGGAAGGCCAGATGTGCCCCTCTGTGACGGAGCTGCTGGCCTGTGGTTTATTAACATTTTCCTGAGTGGAGAAAGGATTGTTCCCAGAGTCTGAAGCTCAGGCTGAGTGCTGCAGGGTTGAGTGGTCTGAGCCCTGCTCGGAGTCTGGGCATGAGTTCCAGTGCTGCTTTCTCACTACTTATACCATCTTCTCATTTTTCTCTCTAATTCTGCTTTAACTTTGTGCAACTGCTTCTAGATTCTAGGAAATTCTCCCCTCTTTCTCAGACTTGCAAACACCCTATTCTGATTGTATATCAGCATTGTGTTGACTTTTTTTTTGTCAGGCAGAGTGAACAGTGAGAGAGACAGGGAGAAAGGTCTTCCTTTTCCGTTGGTTCACCCTCCAATGGCTGCTGCAGCCGGCGCACCGCGCTGATCCGAAGGCAGGAGCCAGGTGCTTATCCTGGTCTCCCATGTGGGTGCAGGACCCAAGGACTTATACCATCCTCCACTGCGCTCCCGGGCCATAGCAGAGAGCTGGACTGGAAGAGGGGCAACCGGGACAGAATCCAGCATCCCGACTGGGACTAGAACCCAGAGTGCCGGCGCTGCAGGCGGAGGATTAGCCTATTGAACCTCAGCGCCGGCCATGTGTTGACTCTTGAATCCTGACACTCCTCCAGTCGTTCAGGCTTGGGCTTTTCTGACTCACTTCTCTCAGTTCCATGAAGGGCTTTGTGATTCACCCTCCGTCGTGGGTTCTTCCCAGGCCTGGACTGTGTGCCCTGATGATCAGATTCAAAGAAGAGCTCCCCGGGCAGCTACTTCTGTGCTTTGCTTTCCTCTCTTCGGTGCTGTTCAGTAGGGGGCATTAGTGGTACTGGGAGGGGAAGTTCTATGTCTTTATTGTTTTTTAAAGATTTATTTATTTATTTGAGAGGCAGAATTACAGGGAGAGAGAGAGATCTTCCATCCGCTGGTTCACTCCCCAAATGGCCGCAATGGCTGGCACTGTGCCAGGCCAAAGCCAGGAGGTTTTTCCAGGTATCTCATGTGGGTACAGGGGCCCAAGCACTTGGGCCATCTTCCACTGCTTTCCCAAGTGCATTAGCAGGGAGCTGGATCAGAGGTAGATCAACCACAGCTCGAACCAGCGTCCATGTGAGATGCTGGCACTACAGATGTTGGCTTTATCCGATGCACCGCAGCACCAGCCCCCAATTCTGTCGTTAGATTAAAGGATGTTTAGCACCCCGGCCTCCCTCTGCTCCCTGAGAACCAGCATAGCCAGCAGTGAGTACAGCTGGCAAAAACTGTCCTCACAGATTCCCAGATGGCCCGTGGGGAAGGCAGAGCACACCCAACTGAGTCACTATTTTGGATGCTGCCTCTCCACCTTGCACCCCAAAATGTGCACACACCCTTCCCATTATTGTTTGTGGTTCTATCAATAGACTTTTTTTTGAAAGTTTGTCATATCTTTAAGTCATTCTTCCTTGTGGAGTTTGTTGTATTTTGCCTTGGAATGAGTCATATGCTTATTTTATTTTGTCTTATAATAGGAGAAGTGCCAAACACACATACAAATGAAGAATAGTACAAGGAACCCCCATGGATCTGTCATCTGGTAGTTTCAACAGTCACCAACTCAGAGATGATCATGAACCTTTTGGATAAACTTCTTGATACTTCTTGGCTTTTTTAAGCCAAAAAGGACTGAGGTGAAACCCTTGTTTAATTCTCCGGAACTGCAGCCTTCCTTAGCACATTCCTCCTGATTTGCTAGACGGGAACCCTTGTTGTAGCCACCTTCTTGGCTGCCACTGTCTTCTGAGAACAGACAAATGCTCAGATAGGTCAAGGATGTGCAGATGCGCGGATTCGGCAGAGGGAGATGCGTGGCCGCTGTCTGGAGGATGCACGTCTCGTCACTACTCTGTGCTGCGTCTGTGATCGTCTGCTGATCTGCAGTGGGCAGCCGGGAGCCACATCTCCCGTTTGGCGGAGTGCAATGCAGCTTAACACCATCTGCGTATCACTCCTGCTTCTGCTTCTGGTGTTTCCTGGAAAGCTCTCCAGCAGCCCTCCTGTTCTGTTCCCTGCCTGTCCTGTTGATTTGGAAAAGGGTGTCCCTCTGTGAAGGTACTAGGCATGATCATTCTCAAGCTAGCACTTACTGAAAGCAAAGAGACTGATGTTCAGTTTTATCCATAAAAGTATTTTGAAAAAATGGGGCCAGTGTTACAGTGCAGTGGGTTAAGCTGCTGCTTGCAATGCCCACATCCCATATCAGAGAGCCGTTCTGCGTCCCGGCTGCTCCACCTCTGACCCAGCTCCCTATTCATGTGCCTGGAAAAGCAGTGAGCAGTGGCTTTTCCTGCATTCACTTGGGAGACCCACATGAGGTTCTGGGCTCCTGGCTTCAGCCTGGCCCAGGCCTGGCTGTTGATGCCATTTGAGGAGTGAACCAATGGGTGGAAGATGTCTTTCCCCTCTGACTTTCCCTTTCAAATAAGTAAACTAATCTTTTTTGTTTTTAAGATTTATTTTGCTTATTTGAAAAGCAGAGTTACAGCCGGCGCCATGGCTCACTTGGCTAATCCTCTGCCTGCGGTGCTGGCACCCTGGGTTCTAGTCCCGGTCGGGGCACCGGATTCTGTCCAAGTTGCCCCTCTTCCAGGCCAGCTCTCTGCTGTGGCCAGGGAGTGCAGTGGAGGATGGCCCAAGTGCTTGGGCCCTGCACCCCATGGGAGACCAGGAGAAGCACCTGGCTCCTGGCTTTGGATCAGCTCAGTGCGCCTGCCATAGCGGCCATTTGGGGGGTGAACCGAACCAACGGAAGTAAGACCTTTCTCTCTGTCTCTCTCTCTCTCACTGTCTAACTCTGCCTGTCGAAAGAAAGAAGGAAAGAAAGAAAGAGAGAGAGAGGAAGAAAAAGAAAAAAAGAAGAAAGAAAGAAAAGCAGAGTTACATAGAGAGGGAGAAAGAGGAGGAGGAAGAGGAGAGATAGAGGAAGGCGGGGGTTGGGGGCAGGGTTGGGAGAATGAGAATATCTTCCACCTGCTGGTTCACTCGCCAGATGGTTGCAATGGCCAGAGCTTGGCCAGGCCAGGAGCCAGGATGCTCATCTGGGTCTTCACTTACCCTGTTGACTTATGGGCAGCTTTTTGAAGGCAAATTGATGAACCGTGTAAACACTAAGCTTAACCTGGAGCACTTGTAAGTGTGTACCATTAACTGTGAGGCCTCTGAGCTCTTCAGTTTATCCTAAGCGTTGTGACCTTGACCTGGAATGAAACTTTTGAGCCAGTTCTCTCACTGAGTCATAGCCCTCCTCCACTTTTTTTTTTTTCTCCCCTTCAACTCCTTACCTTTGGTTGGGTGTTCAAAAAGAGCCTAGACCTGTGCTGGCAAAAGCCTGGACAATTTCCTGGGTACCTGAGATGCAAGCAGCTACAGTGGAAGGAGGTAGACGTTAAATGCTCAAAGCAAGCTCTCCAAAGGAATGAGATCTTTATATTCAAGTAGTGGGTGATCCACTGTGCAGAAAAGCCTTGTGAGCATACTTTTCAATTTCCACAAGTCTGACTGTTTGATCTTCCTTGTGCTTGTAACATTACCCCCAGATTAGGAGCTGTAGCAGCGTTCCTGTACCATCGTTATTGATGTGGACCACACCAGAGTGATTCTAGCAACCTGCCTAAAACCTCACAGTTCTGCAGCGAGGCAGTCTGGAGTGCAGGTCTCTGCCAGAAGAGAACCTACAGTTTGCTCGGCCTGGCTTCTCATTCTCTCTGCTTTCGTCAAGGTCTTAGTCATCCTGTCCAGCATGACCAGTTTTAAATTATTCATTTATTTAATTTACTTGAAAGGCAGAGAGAGTGACAGAGAGCTCCTATCCACTGATTCACTCCCCAAATGCTGGCAACATCTGGGGCTGGGCCAGGTGGAAGTGGGTACCCAGCAACTCAGTCCAGGCCTCTCATGTGGGTGGCAGGGACACAACTACTAGGATCATCACCTGCTGCTTCCCGAGTCTCTGTTAGCTGGAAAGTGGAGCTCGGAACAGCTGAGACTCAAACACAGGCACTGTGATGGTGGATGCCGGCATTCCAAATGGCATCTTTACTGGCACACCCCCAGCAAGACCACTTAAACGGCTACCAGGGAGCCAACAGATCACGGTTGTGAGTTGTGGTCTATAAACACATGGAGACAAGTGGTTGTGGGAGCTGAAAAGTGTATGTGGAAGCTCTTTGTAAGCTACCAAATCCTATTCAATAAAGACATGATGTTGATACAAACAGCACATGGCACCTCTGGGTGAGCAAGTCATTGGGTTGAATTCTGTCTGCATCATCTCATTTAATCCTCAGAACAATTTCTAATGTTTTGTTATTATTTTCTTATATATGAGAGTACAAATATAGCAACAGCATAAAGGTGTTTGACAAGGCAGCTTTTAATGCCACGGAGAGTACTCTAGGCAAAGCCCTCTCCAAACCGTTGATGTTTACTAGAAAAATGCGAGAGGAACAAGAAAGGCTGATGGGCACCACAGACAAGCCCAGACAGGCAGCTCATCAGAGCTTTCTCTGGGGGTGCGTTCATGCCTCATCGCTCACATCCCAGGGATTTCCGGGCGGGACGGTTTGTTTTAGGTGGCAGCTTGACTGGCTATGGAATGCCTGGAGAGCAGCTGGAGCGCTTCTGCTGGCTGTGAGGATGTTCCCGGATGAGCCTGCATGCACGCTCCACACTCATTTTGGAGGGATGGCGTCCAAGCAGAACAAGAAGGTGAAGGAAAGGCAAATTCTGTCTCTCTCCCAGAGCTGGGACAGCCTTCTTCTCCTGCCTTTGGACATCTGAACTCCAGGCTCTCCAGACTTAGGCCAGTGACCCCCACCCTTGACCTTGCACTGAGTTACACCAGTGACGTCCCAGGTTCTGAGGCTTTGGGGCTTGGGTGGAGCCACAGGACCAGCATTCCAGCATCTGCAGCTTGCACACAGCCCACCCTCCTCTGTGATCACACGAGCATATTCTGCTGGGAGACCCTCCCTCTGCTTTCTCTCTGTAGATCCAGCGAACCCTGGCTAACATACTAAGCATCTCAAAATATTATTCTTGGGGGCCGGTGCTGTGGTGTAGCAGGTAAAGCCACTGCCTGGAGTGCCAGCATTCCTTATGGGCACCTGTTCGAGTCCCGGCTGCTCCTTTTCCAATCCAGCTCTCTGCTATGGCCTGGGAAAGCAGCAGAAAATGACCCAAGTGCTTAGGTCCCTGCACCCATGTGGGAGACCTGGAAGAAGCTTCTGGCTCCTTCCAGTCATTGTGGCCATCTGGGGTGGGGGGGGGGTGAACCAGCGGATGGAAAACCTCTCTCTCTGCCTCTCCTTCTCTCTCTGTGTAACTCAGACTTTCAAACTAATAAATAAATCTTTAAAAATTATTCTTAAGAATTATTGTGTAGCAGAGACCTGCAACTTACATAGAACAAATCATCCACTGCCAATCCTGTGGTCCGAGCTCCTGCAGCTTCTTCCTCACTCTGGTTCATTCATAAAACAAAGGAAAAGCCTTCAGAGGAAGGGAATGTGAGACTGAAGACAGTGAAGAAAGAACCAGAGGTTGAGAAGACGAGATGCCAGCTTCTTTCAGGATGATGTTACTTCCTTTTGCAAAATATTAGCTCGCCAAGGCATATGTAGCAATGGGCTTCCTAAATGTCTAACAAAGAGAAAATGATAAACTACAGTGTTGTTTTAAAGACATATAATGGAATAGTTGGAGATGATTAAAATGAAAATTTTGAGGGGCAGACCTTGGCACAGCTGTTCAGACTCCACTTGGGATGGCTGCCTCCTATGTTGGAGAGCCTAGGTTCAAGTCCTGGCTCTGCTCTCCCTTCTGGCTTCCTGCTAATGCACACCCTGGGAGGCACAGGTGAGGGCTCAGGTAGCTGGGCCCTGCCATCCATGTGAAGGACCCAGATGGAGTTCCTGGCTCTTGGCTGTGGTCTGCCCCAGCCTTGGCCTTTGCAGGCGTTCAGGGAATGAGCCAGCAAATGGAAGATCATTCTGCTCTCTCTCTCTCTCTCGCTCTCTCTCTCTCTCTCTCTCCCTCACCTATTCAAATAAAAATAAATAAATAAGGGAAAAATTTTAATGTCTGAAAATAATATAGTGAAAATTAGGTTATAAAACTGTAAGTAAGTATGATCAGAAAGCAGTTTTATATACACATATGTAATATATACCTTAAAATGTTAACAGAAATTATTGTTGGATATTGGGGTTGTGAGGTTTTTAATTTAATTATTATGCTTTTCATTATTTTTCAAGTATTTACAATGAGCATTTGTTATTTTTATAATAAAAGGTGGATATGAAATAGTAAAGAGACTGTAGTTGTGGTTTTAATGCAGATAAGAGTTTCCAAAAACAGGGACTGGCACTGTGGTGTAGAGGCTAAGCCTCAGCCCGCAGCGCTGGAATCCCATATGGGTGCCGGCTCGAGTCCCAGCTGCTCCACTTCTCATCCACCTCTCTGCTATGGCCTGGGAAAGCAGTGGAAGATGGCCCATATGGCATCCCATACAGGCACTAGTTCAAGTCCCAGCTACTCCCCTTCCCATCCAGCTTCCTTCTAATGGCCTGGGAAAGCAGTAGAAGATGTCCCAAGTGCCTGGGCCCCTGCACCCATGTGGGAGACCCGGAAGAAGCTCCTGGTTCCTGGCTCCCAGCTTAGGATCGGCCCAGCTCTGGCAATTGTGCCATTTGGGGAGTGAACCAGCGGATAGAATATCTTACTCTGTATCTCTCCCTCTGTCTGTAACTCTGCCTCTCAAATAAATAAATCTTTAAAAAAATAAACAAATAGAAAACAAAGCAAAGTTTAGATTAGCGTTTCCCAGCCATTGGCCAGCCGTCAGGGAGAGGGGAGAGGCACAGTCACAGTACTCCGTGGACAGGGCTTTCGTGGGGATCTATGAGAGCACCTAGGCCTCAAGTGTGTGCAACAGAGCGCAGCTCGGGGTCAAGGGCATGGGTGAGCTCCCTTCTAGCTTCCTGCTCGAAGTTTCCAGCTAGAAGAAACAGTGCCCTGTTTGCTGTTGGAACTGTCTTTGACTCTCCCGTGCTCCTACTTGCTAGTTTGGAACATTATTAAGCTCCTTGCGCTCTCTGGCTTGATATAGCGTGAATGCTACTGGAGGATTGGAGAGGGGAGAAGGGGGAAACTCCCCATCCCCAAGATCTAACCACTTGCCCCTTATGGCCATCCCCAATAACTAGGGCCAGGTCTATGTAACCAGAGGAGAAGGCACTGGCAGGAAGAGGACTCTGTGTTGTGCTAGCCAGCGTGTTCCAGAGGAGCGGAGAAAGCGTGGATGGACTGGATTCTGAGGGTGCCGGCTCAGTGAAAATGGAACACAAGGTTGGCCAAAGGAGAGTTTCCCAGTGTGGGAGCCCTCTCCCAGTGTACAGGACACGGCGGCCTGACAAGGGCTCCAGGGGACAGTGCTACCTGCTGAGCGCATGGCTCTCAGAGGCGGAAAAGCACCGAGAAGCTCAGCGTTACCAGACCCATTGAGAAACTGATGGCACTGTCCTCCCTATCTCTCTGCCTGGAGTGGGGTTCCAGTTTGCAGCCCCCTAGGGTCTGGTGACAGAGTCCTGGGCTCCATTTATGCCCCCTCTTCTCCCTGTGCTTCCAGCCTTAGTAGCTTCCCGTGGTTGCTACCCTGGCCTCTGCACACTTTCATCCCTCATGCAAACAATTCTCCTTGATTAAGTTCTCTCCAAAATAGCCACACTGGTTCCTGGGACCCTGACAATACAATAGGTGATAATTCAGGATTGTGCTGGGAAATGCACTCCAGCTTAAAGGCCCAGGGAGGTCATTCCAAGGATCTCTATGACAGCCATACAATGCAGAGGCCGCATACACCAGGGCCTGTGTGTGCAGAGAATCATAAATAAGCCTGTGTCAAAGAAAAACAAATTGAATATCTTGATAATCCGGGTTTGAAGGTGGGTTATGCTATCCAGAGAAGCGATTTATGGCCTCAGGAATGTGCTTGTTGATTCCTGAGACCTTCAAACAGAGCTTGCTCTCTCGAGAAGGCACCTCCTGGGAGCACCCACATCTAAGAGAACCTCAACAGAGCCTGGACACAGGACGACAGCTCCGCCGCTGTGCTGAGCGTCTCAGGGCAACAGCACATATGTAATTCTTTAAAAATCATCTTGGGGTAATTACTAGCTGCTTTTGAAATAAAAAAAAATGCTCAACTCTGTATTTATTGTCAGGATCATAATTTGTGAAATAAAAGAATTACCAGCTGTGAGAGTTTTGTCACCAATGGAAATCCACGTGCTAGTGGCTGGTGGAGAACAGTTCCTGGCTGTGCCCCATACACAAAGAGGGAAATCAAAATGCATGCATACACATGCAAATCTCAAGTCATCAATGAACAAGAGTGAGCCGCTCACGTGGCCTGGCTTGAGTAGTGTCTATTGCGCAGAGCTCTGAAGGATGGCAAGGCACTGTGCAGGCGTGAGCAGAATGGGAATTCAGGAAGAGCCAAGAGCATCAGCTGAGAGAGTGAGCAACAGCCAGTGAGACTAGAGCAGGGGTGAACGCGACGGTGGGGCTGGCACTGTGGCGCAGCTGGAAGCTGCCCCTGTGACACTAGCATCCCAGATCAGAGTACGGTTAGCATCCCAGCTGCTCTCCTCTGGTTCCCTGCTTATGCGCTTGGGAAAGCAGAGGAAGATAAGTACCTGGGCCCCTGCCATCCATGTGGGAGACTGGGATGGAGTTCCTGGCTCCTGGCTTTGGCCTGGGCCTGTGGCCATCTGGTGAGTGAACCAGCAGATGGAAGATTCTTTTTCTCTCTCTTTCACTCTGCCTTTTAAATAAAACAAAGAAGTACTTTTTAGAAATGAGACCTGCTAGGCCGGTACCGCGCCTCACTAGGCTAATCCTCCACCTTGCAGCGCCGGCACACTGGGTTCTCGTCCCGGTCAGGGTGCCGGATTCTGTCCCGGTTGCCCCTCTTCCGGGCCAGCTCTCTGCTGTGGCCAGGGAGTGCAGTGGAGGATGGCCCAAGTGCTTGGGCCCTGCACCCCATGGGAGACCAGGAAAAGCACCTGGCTCCTGGCTCCTGCCATCGGATCAGCGCGTGCGCCGGCCACAGCGTGCCAGCCGCGGCGGCCATTGGAGGGTGAACCAACGGCAAAGGAAGACCTTTCTCTCTGTCTCTCTCTCTCTCACTGTCCACTCTACCTGTCAAAAAAAATAAATAAATAAAAATAAATAAATAAAAATAAAAAAATTTAAAAAAAATAAAAAAAAAAGAAATGAGACCTGCCTTTTAAGTTGGATCAAGCAGTTTTGATTGCTTTTTGTGAATATTTTGGGGCGGGGGATGGTGAACACAGAAAGCTTTTAAACTGAGCGGTGACAGGATTATTGGGTGCTTTGCAATTTCCTTGCATGTACAAGTTCCATAACATTTGTCAAACTGGATTTTTAAAAGATAATGGAACAGCAGCTACAAATTCTCCTGAATATAATTACAGTGCTTTGGGTTGGGAACATTTTCATGCTAGGTGTAGTTAACACCTATTGTCAGTTTCCTAGCAACCGTGCATCCTTTTGGTGGAAAAATCTTCAGGGTCACTTGAATGTCTCCACGTGGGAATCACTCTGAGGAGAGTAGGAGACATTTGTCTAATTCATTCCATACACTTAACAGAGACTACAAGTCACAGTCAGGGACCACCAAGGGCCTGTGGAGGTTTGGGGTGGGGGCGGGACTGCTTCCGCAGAGAGGCCCCCGGCGTCCCAGATGGAAGATGTGGTGACGCTCTCTCCGTTCATGGGCATTCTCATCTGGGTGTGCTCTTCACAGAAAGCGTAAACACAAAGGAGTTTGCAGAGAGAGGCTCAGAGAATCTGCGAGGCAGGGGATTGCCGGATGAGTTCTGCGGGTGACACTGGGCGAGGGATGACAAAGCTGAAAGAAGCCAAGGGCTCACTGAGAATCATCAGGATACCAAGCACTGCTTTAGTGATGCAGGGTCGCAGAATGTGCCATGTATTTGGAACTAAAGGCGATTACAAAGTCTCTGACCTCCAGGGAGGGCAGCGGTTCTTAATCCCGCCAGAGACACTCCTGGGTTCCTCGGCTCAGAGATAGCTCAGAGGACCCACGTAACAAACCTTGCTAAGGCTAGCTCTTACCTAGCATTAGCTTCCCCATATATTGACCTTTCCACAATTTGCTATCCCTGGAAGCTCAACTTGGCTAAAAAAATTATAGTTCTTTTGCTAAGATGCTCTATAAGCTCAATTTCCCACCATTCCATCGGGTCACTCCTCTCTGGGTACTGCCATGTGCGCGCATGACACACAGCTAATAAGCTCTGCCAGTTTTTGGTCAGTTGACTATTCAGGGCCCCAGTCAATGAACTAGGATGAGTAGAGAAAAGTAGAATTTCTCCTCCCCTACATGCAGAAAAATAACCTTTAAAGAAGTTGTCATTATCCTCAATTTAGAGATGAGTGAACAGAATCTTACAGAAGTTAGGTGGCTGGATGACACCGGCTGGACCAGGGCCTGGGACACAAGCACGGAAGGGCCACAAGACTTGCCAGTGCACCGCGGTGGCCTGCAGCCTACTGTGCTGAATCAAGTGTCCACGCTGCTGACTGCCTTGGGCCTCTCGCTGGCACCTGGCCCTTTTCTTCTTGCTCTTCACGGCATCGCGTGTTTCCCTCTCCTCTTTCCCCTCCCTGCACCTCCTGCCTCTCCGGCCATTCCTCGCAGGCACCCATGGCAGGCATCTCTTCCTCCGGCCACCCCTTCTTGTCGCCCAAGACCTCAGGCCCCAGCCTCCTCTCATACCACGAACACTCTGCGATGATTCAGCTACCGCCCTGGCTTCAGCCCCCACTCTCGGGCTGGGGCTGTGCAAATCTACGTCTCCACCTCAGACCTTGGCCACCTCCCAACCCCAACTTCGCAGATTTGTATGTGTCCGAGAGGAAGTGACCCTAGAGAGCTCATGAGAAGCACCAAGTGCCAGGTCCTAGCAAGATGCACTTCTTTAGAATCTGCTTTTCAACAACACCTCCCAGGCAATGTGTCTGTGCATCACCATTGGAGCAGCCCAGGTCTAAACCAGAGGTTTGCAAAGTGCAGTCCCCTGATCAGAATACCAGCATCCCCTGCGAACTTCGATTGCCCAGCAATCTGTATTTAACAGCTCCTACTGGTGACTCAGACACAGGCTCAGCTTTGGAAACCAGTGTCCCCCTGGCAGGTGGTTCTTAAATGTGGCTAATGCTGGAATCACTCAGGCATGGGTACTTCAAAGAGTTTGTGGGAAGATGCAATTAAAAGACAGGCTTATTTTTGTGCGAAGATTTTTGAGATTCATGCGTACTCATAATGTCCCGGTCTATCTCCTGAGTCCACCTCAGCTTGAGCACTGGGGCTTGGCCTGAGCACGGAGGTCCGTGTAAGCAAGGCCTCCCAGGTGATCTGATGTGCAACTGTGAGAGCCCCGACTCCTGTTTTCACACTGCAAACCACCCTCAGTGTGAAAACCGTCCCCCGCAGGGGTGATTCAGCCTTTGCTCTGCCTCCACCACCACCCGTGTGTGTACAGCTCTTCAGTCCAGGCCCCCTACACGCAGTGACGCTGCCTTCTAGGCCCATGGTTCCCGTTCCCACATTTGTGTCTGGCTCTCCCATAGTCACCTCAAAGTGCAGTCCCCTGCAAAATCAACCATTTCTAGCCTGAACGTCTATCTGGTTCAACGTTTGGTCAGGATTCGCTCATGCTGGGAGACTCTGTTTTCCAAACACGGCCACTGTGTCTCTGGGGCCCCTCTGAGACAGCAGTAATCCATCCCACAATTGTGGAACATTTTCTCAGCACCTGAACTTGATGTCGGCCCATCCTCTCTGAAGGGGAGGACAAGTCTTCATCGGCTGTGTGTGGTTTATGAACCGAACCTCAGCTTTGTGCCAGACATGACTTGTGGTCAGCCCACTCCTCCCTCCCCACTCCCACCTCCCACCATCCAGGGTGATCTCCTTGACTCCGTCAGGTGCGAAGAGGAGGGAGAAAACGAGATCCTTCCAGAAGTGGGGCCAGCAACTGCTTGGTAGGGAAGCCGGTTGCCTGGCAACAATGCCCTCTCCTCAGCATCCCTTAGGTATATTTGTCATATTCCATTCCTTCCTTCCTTCTCTTCTCAGTATTTACGGTAGCTGGATTTTAGATACATAACATATATACACATATATACAAAATAGGCGCAAAATTATAAAACTATAGTAGTTTATATAACATATAATGCCTATCAATTTGTTTGACAAAGATTTAAAATAAAGTGTGACAAAATACTGTAATTGCAGCGAAACTGATACACACAGGCTTTTTTTGGTTTGTTTTTTTAAAGTCAGCTCCCACATATAAAGCAGAATATGTGGCGTTTGTCTTTCTGAGTCTGGCTTATTTCACTCAACATGATATCCTCCAATTCCAATCATTTTAAAATCTGCCCACATGAATGCCGTTGAACATCTTTCATCTGATTACCATGTGTAGCCCTTGCCTATTTTCCTACTGGACCAGAATGTAAATTTAAAATAAGTTATTTCCCCCAAAAATCAATACAATATTAAGTTGAAAGAAGAAAGCTCACATCCTGGGATCAGCTGGGCTTAGGTTTATATGCTGATATGACGGATCTTAAATATTCAGCTGTTTGAAGCGTCAGCTCTTCTGTAAAATGAAGATGGCAACATCGTGGAGTTAACTTGTGCGGTCTGTGAAGATTCTTGAGCCCAGAATAGTCCTCATACAGGACAAGATGACGAAACATTACTATTGAAAGACCACATGAGGCTGATAGCAGTGAAGCAACTTATCCATGGTCACAGAGACTAAGTCCCAGAGCTGCAACCCGAGTCCAGTGTTTTCACTCCAAGAACAGACTTGCTTCTATGACCACTGCATTTTTAAATATTAAAATGAAAATGTGAGGCTGAACTGGGCAGTTTTTCCAAGGAACATTAACTAGAAACATTTTACTTTTTCATTTTAAATTTGTAGTAGTGTTATTAATTCTAAAGTTATTCACTGGAAATACATTGTTACAGTGAAGTATGTTTTTTTTTTAAAAAGGAACATTTAAAAACATAAAAATAAAATAATAAAATTTCCAGGTAGGGATGCACAGATCATATTCTTATACCACCATGATCCTGAATATAATATTTGTAGATCCTAGAGAAATGCACAATTCTTCAAACAAAGATGTCTTCAACTTAGTCATTATTTATTTAACAGATATTTATTGAATGTCTGCAAAGTGCCTGATGCTTCAAAATATTGAGCTGGGGTTGGTGCTGTGGTGTAGCATGTAAAGCTGCCACCTGAAGCACTGGCATCCCATAAGGGCACCAGTTCAGGTCCTGGCTGCTCTGCTTCAGATCCAGCTCCCTGCTAATGGTCTGTGAAAAGTATCAGAAGATGGATCAGGTGCTTGGGCCCCTGCACCCTTGAGGGAGACCCGGAGGCAGCTCCTGGCTTCTGCCTGGTCCAGTCCTGGCCTTTTGTGGCCATCTGGGGAATGAACTAGCAAATGGAAGATCTCTCTCTCTCCCCTTCCTTCCTCTCCCTCTCCCCCTGCCTTTCCCTCTCTCTTTGTAACTCTTTCAAATAAATAAATCTTTAAAAATATACAGCTAAAAATATTCCATAGATAGATTTAAAAATAAAAATTAGAGGTGGGCACTTAGCTTGGTGATTAAAAAGCCCATATCTCACACTGGAGCGCATTGGTTTGATTCCTTGCTCTGGCTCCGGAATTTAGCTTCCTGCTGAATGCACATCATGGTAGGCAGCAGACAGGGCTCCAGGAATTGGGTTTCTGCCACCCATATGGAGATCTAGATTGAATCCCTAGTCCCTGACTTTAGTCCCAGCCCAGGGCTGTAGCAAGCATTTGGAGAGGGGAGTCTGCAGATGGGCACTCTCTGTCTATGTCTCTATTTCTTTCACTCTGCCTCCCAAATAAATGAAGAAAAAAAAAAAGCTATGAAAGAGTGTTGTGTATCCAAGAGTTAAAAATTGGCTTCAAGTCCTAACTTTAAAAACAAAAATGGGCCAGAG